ACTCACACACACATTTTCATTTTCAATCTCAAGCAACAACAATTTCGAACAATTTCAATTTTTTATTTTCACTTTTATATGATTTTAAAATGTTGGGAAACTTCAAAAAAAAATCATGGCCGACAAATTGAGAGAACGGTTATACCTTGCTATGTTTTTATCATGCTTTAAACCTTGCTTTAATTTTAACTATTTTATAAAATACTATCTCAGTTTTGAAGATATTTTGCTAAAATTTTGCACACGACTGTATTATAATATTGCATTCACTACCTCTTAAAATCATCGAAATCGGTTCACTATAACATCTAGCTCCCATACAGCTGATTGTTAGAGACGTTATTTTGCGTTATAACTCCTCCAATTAAGCAGGTAAAAATTTAGTATAGGTTCACTTTGACATATAGCAGGCATACAATTTATTACTCAGATATGAAGATAGAGTTATAGCGCAAAAACAGATGTCTGAGTAATCAGTTGCATTGTTAAAGTGAACTTATTTCGATAATTTTAAATGATAATTAAGGTAATATTAAAAAACCGTTATGTGCAAAATTTTAGTAAAATAACTTCAAAACTGAGGGAGTTATTTATAAAATAGTTAAAATTTAATCAAATTTTCAAGTACCGTTATCTCGAAAACCGAAGCCCATTTGGTAAAACGGAGGATGTCATTGAACTTAGAGCGTCCCATTCAAAATCTATGCTCAAAATTTACAACTTGCACAGCGTAATTCGAACCCAGCTTATTCTTTTGTTTTCTTCTCGAAAACCGAGCCCATCTCGTAAAACGGGGGATGTCATTGACTTTAGAACGTCCCATTCAAAATCTATGCTCAAAATTTACAACGATCTAAATATTTCCCAGCAAACACAGTCTCTAACGTTAGATAAATTTGGATTTCTACATTAGATAACTAGGGTAATTCTCTAATCGTTCTCGAGTCGATGACGAAGTTAGATAATTACATTAGAATTCGATTCGAGAACGATTAGAGAAACAACGCAAATTCAAATAAATGTAAATAAGCAATATTCCAAATGAATTACTCATAAATTATTTTTAAGTTCAAATAATTCATTATTATTTTATTGCAAATACATTTAATACAAATTTTACAAACAAAGCAAGGCAGCAGTTTGAAATTCACACTCGAATCCCATTAGAGATCAACATTGGAATACGATTAGAGAATCAATATTTTCTCGAGTCGAGAACTATGTCCCATTTTTGTTGAGATCGCTATGATTCTCGATAGTTTTTCCGAGTCGTTCTCTAACGTTTGAGATTGGAGAATGTGGCTAGTCCTCCAATCATTCTCTAATCGATAACTAACCTCAATGTTTGCCTGGTTATTCCTCGTATAACTTTTGAAGCACTTGATGAAAATGAATTACACTTAGATTTATCGATTTATTAAGAGATTACGAATATAATCATATATAAAACATAGGTATGCCCACAAATGAAAAATTCAACTTTTTCTTTTGAAAGTGTACCTGATTTTAGATTTGCCCATATGTATCCAGAATATCAAAACCTCGATAAAATGAAGAATCCAAAATTTTGGAAACAATTTTTTATAAATATAGGTTTATAACGGGGTGTTATTCATGCTCAAAATTTCTTCATTATATCTATGGAGCATTTTTGTATGAAAGGTTTTTTCAGCGGACCCAGCAAAAGTATTGTTATATTGAATTTTTCGTTTTATAGTGATATCGAGGTTTCACAGTACATATCTACCGAAAACAATGCGTAGGTTGAAAAGATATATGCATAGATAAGTAAATGTATTTATTTTGCTTCCGCTGTTTTAAACTTATGCAATTTGAAATTTCTAAGAAAATACATACTTATGTACATAATAACAAGTGGCTTTTTACAGATCGTACTATATTCATATTAAATTTTACCCGTCCTTTTTACTTCTCATCACTTTAAACCAGTAGATATATTTAGAAGCTAAAATTATGGCTGTAAAAACGCCGAACACAATAACTGGCCTTTTGTTGTCTTCATCAAATGATGAGCTAAGGTTTTTGCAATTAACTACATCAACCATAGTAGTTGCAGCCGAACGCTGTGTAAGTAGCTGTGTAGAGTAATGCCGTGCACCGGCTACGATATGGCTCCGAGGCACGAGCATCTCATGTCATGCTTGCTTCTCAGTTTCTGGTTCTAGCTTTGGTACAGGCCGAATAGTAAATTTAATGTGTGAACCTTTGCCACGCTTTTGCACAACGCGTCCAATTACTTCCGGCTCCTTGACGCTTTGTTCGATGGTTTTGAAAATTTGCTCACATTTAGCCATTTCCTCGGGGCTACCTTGTACGAGTATGCACACTTCGTGATTTTTCGCCAACCATTTCGAAATGTGTTTCAAGCGTGATTCTAAATCATGGTCCGAGATACGTGAACCAATCGTTAGTGATTTCTCAGACTTTTTTTCGCTGCTGAATGTGTCAAAATTGTAAATTATACAGCGCTATAAAAAAGGCTATGTATGTGAAATTTACCTTTTCATTCGATCAACTGCGCTCTCATCCACATCCTCGGAAAGCATTTCTGTTGCGGTCACTAGCCTACAATATTAGACAAGATAACTATGTAATTCAAATAAATTTTCAATTTTTAGTATATCTGTACATACTTATAAATTGAACGTTGTGTCTTCGTATCGAAATCCTGTTGCTTGACTAAGTGCAACTCTCGGCGTTTGGCCAATTTTTGTGCTTCTTTCAACGTTGTCACAATAATGGATTGATTGGGTTGGATAAGTGTTATTTTGGACAATGAATTGACGCTCTGTTGCCGCGCAGTATCCACATTGCTGGTACCCCTGGCTGTCGTAGAGCTCAATGCATCGGTCTTTTTCGTGCGTGCACATACCGATAGCTGGAAATTATTGTGTGTAAACGAATAGCACAAGGCTCTGGTAGATTTTTGGAGTAATTGGTTCATGTTGGAATACTTTCACTTCAATCAAGGCAAATAAATCGCGGAGTCCACAGCTTCAGCTTTTACTTTTGTTTTGGATGTTTTTTTTTCTTATTGAACAATCAGCTGATTAAACAGTAGGTTTTAGTCTAGGTATGTACCAATGCGGTTATCGATGAAACACTCCGATAACATTCGGAGTAATCAGAATATGGAGTATATTTACAGCAATTTAAATTAGAAAATGATTAAAAAATGAGAATTGAAATACATAAAATCGGAAATATCCACAGCCAAATATCAGTAGGAGTCGTTTCAGGAATGCCAACCATTGCCCTGGGTAATTAAAACGACATATCTACAGATATAGTTTTTTATTTGCAATATTTTATTCGTTTAAGAACTCTCATTTGCATATAGTTGTAACTATTTAGTATATATCTATACGTTTTGTAGAATACATTATATTTTAGGTTATGTATGTATATATTATAGGTGACTTCGAACAAGTTTCTTCCATCATAAAATAATATTTTTTATCGTTAATTTAACTTTTACTTATAAATGTAACTTAATAAAATATAAATAAATTAGAATCGCATCTAGCGCTAGCTTCTTTCAAAGGATTTTTGATTACTTTTTCTAATCAGAACACGTTTAACTTAAAATACCTTGTCATATTACATATTTACAAACTGTAGCTAATAAAAATGCACACGTAAAGGCAAAACGTTTAAAGAATCCGTAAATACACAAAAATTACTTACTACAAAGCTTTAAAATAAAGTTATGAATTGTCAAAATCTCAGGCATTGTATACATAATATGGTAATAAATTTTAATTACTTTAGTCGCCCTCGACTCAGCAGCATTACTGGAATGCGTGTTATGCAAATATATACCCTAAAAAAAGTTACAGTGGTTATTCTAATTGAACCTGCTCAGGTTATCTGGTTAAAAACTATTATTCCGTAGTGTATTTTATTGTTGTAAACTAAACAACAAATATAACCAGATAACCTTATAACCAGGCAAGTGTGAACCACCTCACTTATAGTGTCTAAGCTCAGACGATTGCATCGAATTCAGACTCGCTGAATTTCGAAAAGTTTCACATCCGTATCGTACCATATGGATGGTCCTACATTACGCAAGTAGATTACACCCCAAATGTAGGTGCGAAACCATGCAGTGGTGCCAGCATTCGCCTGATACTTTCGTATAAGTATAGGATGTGGCACAGGTAGCAAACCTACCAGTGTTCCATGTTGTAAAAATTTCAATATTTCCGATTCATCTGTCAACCCCTTATCAATGCATATCTTTTCAACTTGTGGCACAAGTACCTGCAATAGTCGCATAATAGTTTGCAATGGTAACTTCGAACGCCACGATACGATCCATTCGGGCGTTGGCGTCCAGTGATCAGCCGGTGTATTCGGCACCATGCGTATGCTGCCACGTGTAGCAACGGAGAGCCGCGACTGATTCTCTTTTGGTATGGAGTTGCCGTCGTTTGAGTTTAAAGAAGTATTGCTACGACGCGAGATATCGTGGCGATTTGGACTAGTGGGTGTACGATTTACATGTTCAAACTGGGAAATGTCAGAGGTGCCATCAATGGTGGGCGTTTGCGTATCTTCAGTGCTGGGGTGTGCTGCTTCGCGTTCTGTCATTTGATTAATGGCAGGTGTGTCCAGTAATGAAGTTTTCAGAGTACCCGGCTCGGCAGGCATTGCTGGCATTGCATTTTCCTCTTGAGTCTCGCTTTGCTTATGTTGTGACTCGGTTTCAGACTCACAATCCTCGTCATCCAAATCGGCATCTAGTGGGCGACCGCTGATAGCAGAGAGATGCTTTGCATTTGAATGGGGCACTGGTGGTATATTGAATTTACCGACTTTTCGTCCACTTAAACATTTTGCGATACCCGCCATGTCCGAGGGTAAATTTGCCATCGCGTGAAATACATGTCGTTTTCGAATGATGGTGTAAACCAAATTGGAATTGCCATCGAACTGATATTGTATGATATTATTGAAGATTTCAAGCAAGAAGAATACTAAGTGGTGATTATTTGGCGCTGACAACAGAAACCATGGAGTGCTAAAAGCTTCTAGCAAATGCAGAAGCTTCACACTGGCCACCATTGACAGAGTCTTTAAATAAGGTGACACATTCACAAGTATGGTAAGTAGACAGTCAAAGAGTGGTTGCAGGCGTTGATGGCCTGTAGCTATGATTTTATGAAAAACCGTAATTAATAGATCAGCGTGAGTTCCTGTAAAAACTGGTATATCCATGGGCACCGTGGCGGTGTAGGGTTTGTTGAGACGTACACCAAAGTTACGTTCACCTGTAATTAAGAATAAATAAAGCCTTTTGAAATATATCTCATTAACAAATATACGCACCGGATAATAGTAGAAGTATAAACACTCCAATATGCATGAGGCCCACTCGTGATTGATCTGCGCGCGAGTAGTTCAAATGATATAGTATTGGTATGAGTATATCCAACACATCTGAGCTTTTAAGCACGAAATAAAGAAACTTTTTATTAAAATCGCACACCTTCCAGAATAGTATAAGCAACTCTTGATGGCAATGAAGACGTTTGGTTGAATTTGGTAGGTAATTTTGAGCAAGCGGATTGTTTAGCAGGCGCGTTATGCCTTTCAGTATGAAATGAAAGTCCTCATCGCGATGCACACGCGAAAGATAATTGATAAACAAATTATCACCGAAACCATCATCATAAGAGTTAACTGTCGAAGAGGATGAGGGTTTGTTACGGCCTTGCACTTGACGTTGCAACTCCAGTTGCTGTTGCTGGTGCAAAATCATATCGTGATCTAATGTTACTATGAGTATCTGCAGACAAGCCTCAACAAGTGGTTCGGTTGTGTCTACGAATAGCAGATGGTTATATGGTACGCCCAAGCCCACTGGGTCATAAGCACACACTGTATTTAACAATGAAGTGAAGAGTGGTAGCGCATGACGATTATCAGCTGAGGTAAAGTATGCAATCCATCTGCTAGGTTCATCCGTTAAGCTATAGATGGTTTCCGAAAAGCAAGTGAGCAAAAGTTTTAAAATTTCTGCTCGTCGTTTTTCCATGTAGGTATTTTTTGGTGGCGAATGTGCGAAACCAACACCTGCCTCCCATATATACTCACAACTGTCTATATTGGCCAACTCTTCAGCCTTGTCGGGCCCGGCACGACGTGTTGCAGGTACCGTGAAATCAGGACAAAAAAGCAAATCACACAAAGCATTTATCAACGATTGGGCCAATGGTACTGGCTGTGGGCCTGTATGTCGTGGCGAATTTTCACGAAGGATATCTGCTGCTTCAGCAGATGTGGGTGTACTGCGCGTAGGCAGACTACTCCAGAAAAAGTCACGCCATTTTTCATCTTCAAATATGTACGGTAATATGCGTATTAATAGTCGTACACAATTCAAAACACATTGCTGTTCCACATGTGTGCGGCAACTGTTATCCACGGCCAGGGCCAACTTTTCCACGGCCTTGTAACACAATGTCGCCAAGTTGGCAGGATTTTCATTACGTATATTTCGTATTTCGGCTGATGTGACCAAGGCGAAAACATCTTCTAAAGAAGTTTGATGTGCGTACCAAAATTGGTCCCAAAATTGATCGTCGGTGTCATCAATTTTTTGGTTTTTCTGTGTGAGTTGTACTATGGCTTTGCGGAAGTTCAATTTTGAGTCAGAATTTCCCATATTGCGTATCCAAAACGGGCTTTACAACTTGAATACTGCACCAAAGGATATAAATGTGGTCGGGAAAAATGTGGTAAGTGGGTGGAGTGGACAATTCTGTGAGGAAACACTATATTCTTGCAATATTTCCACTTTTTACGCGATTATTTTCACAGACCATTGAAAAACACCAACGTAGGAAAAAATTCTGCTTTCATCTATCATTTCTACCCAATACTGCCAGATTGTAAAGATTTTACAGCTAAAGGTCAGACTACACAATCCGTAGTGAAAACTATTACGTATTCGTTGTTAACGGCGCGTAATGCTGTCAAGACAAAAGCTCTGATCCAATACCAAAGAACGTAGATAACAATCTACGTCCTTTGCCGCAAGTTCGTGTAAAAACTTGTAATTTCATGGAGTACTGGATCAGATTTAATAAAGAAATACGTATTAGTTGTCAAAACCCTGATAATTGTCTCCGTGGCGTAGGCCTCCTGACAATAGTTATGACATTTCATTTTGAAAAAATGTCGAACGTGAACGTTGTATTATAATACGCATTTCGCGAGAGCTTTTTAAGCTAAAAACAACTCAGTTTTCCACTTTACCGCTTACAGATCGATGTGATTGGCCTGATGCCATTTGGAAAGTGATATATTAAGGGCGGGTTGCTCAAAGCCTGGTTGACACTAATCGTCGATTAAACATCGTTATCGACGTTAACGACACCGTGTTGTATCATAAACCAATTAGAACAGATCTGACCGGTTGAGAAGCAGCCATTTGTAATAGCGATTGAGAAAAAAGTGTGTGACGTTCGTAATTTTGAAGTTTGCTATTTCTGTTTTGCTTCTTTCTGTATGTGTATTTTGTCGGTGGTTTATTACAGTGATTTTTAAGTGATTTTTTGTGGAAATGTAATTAACATGAAGTGCGCGGTGATTGGATGCAAAAACACGTACAAAAATAATAAATTGGTCAGCACAAACATGTGCACAAGATTGCTTGCAGTTTTTCTTCATGCTTCGTCTTCATATTCTTTGTTTACTTTTCACAGCAAAATAACATGGCGCCGAAATTACAAACGTCAGCCAGAAAATTACTATTTTCTTTTGCTTCATCTTGTCAGATCTTGCGTAGTTGGACCATGGTGTTGTATGCATGGAGTCGAAAACGTCGATAACGATGTTAATCGATGTTTAGTGTCAACCAGGCTTTGAGCAACCAGCCCCAAAACTATGTTCACATTACCAACATAAAATACTTAGTTTCGTTTAAAATACCTCACTAAATTAAGTGCGTTCATACACGCGATTGTTTATTTGTCTTGACAGCTTTGTAGCAACCCTGTGTTATTTTTTATTTAACCAAAAGAGATCGCGAATGTGAGTAATTGCGTATATTTTTATATTCTGAGTTGTTTGTGGTAATTTTTTAAACACAGCAAGTTGCCCACATGAGAAAACAGGGCAAAATTAAAAAAGAAATTCGACAGATGTTAAGACACATTTAGTACAAGAATCAAAAATACAAGATCACGTAAGAACGCGACGTTGTATTTGTAACTGGTTTTGAGAAAAAAGTTTGCGAAAGCGGGTTCGTCAACTGAGCGTTTGTTTACATCACAAGCACCACTATTTAACACTTTGATTCAAGTAAAGTAGAGTTAATTCAACATGACAACACGTTTTAAAGAGTTTTGCTGTATCATTTTACCTAAATTGTGCGTTTAAAGTGGCCGACAATAATTTTGGCTAATTTTGGATTTCGTTGTTGTTGTTGTTGTAGCGGCTACAACAACCCCGCCCAGATCGGTTGGTATCTCAGTCGTTGTCGTCAAGTTCCACTAACGGCAGCCCTAGGAAGCGTGCAGCTTCTGTTGGGTTGGTCCACAAGGACAAAGCCGTTAGGGTTGTCGGGTTTTCCGGGCATGCGAAGAGATGTTTCGAGTCATGTGGGGTCTCTCCGCATGCCGGACACTCATTTGGCACATCCTCATTCAATCTACTCAGGTAGGTGTTTAACCTGCTGCAGTAGCCAGAGCGAAGTTGGGCTATTGTCGTTCGTGTCTCCCGAGGCTGATGAAGCTCCGTCTCGTCTATGTCCGGGGGCGGTATGCCTTGAATGGCATTCACAGGTCTAGAGTCTACATAACTCGAGACTGACTCCCTGTGAATGCCGTTCAGGGCCAGTCGGTAACCTGACGGGTCCAGAGGTTGCTTGATGAACCTCTGGACTTCGTCCGTCAGTTCATGTAGATGGCTCCTGACGTGCCTAGGCGAAGGCTCCTCTGCAAGCAGCTGTCTGTTTGGGTGGCCACTTCTGTGGCTCCCGATCAGGAACTGCTTGCAGAGCATTATGTTGTGCTCCTTTATGGGGAGAATTTGTGCCTCGCCGTGGAGATGATGTTCGGGCGACATCTGGAGGCATCCTGTAGCTGTCCTGAGAGCGGTGTTCTGTACAGACTGTAGCTTCGTCCACTGCGTCCTACTAGTCCCCGGCTGCGTAGTTTAAAACCGGCCGGCCTATTGCCTTGTATGTTGCCAGCAACGTTTCTTAGTCTTTGCCCCAAGTATTGCCGGCTAGCGACTTGAGGATTTTGTTGCGGCTCTGTACTTTACTGACAATAGCGGTTGCGTGCGCAGAGAAGGAGAGCAGGCTGTCGAATGTTACTTCGAGTATTTTGGGGTTATTCACCGTCGGAACTGGTGTGTCATCGACGTGAATTCCCAGCGGTAGCCTGACCTCCTTCGTCCAGGTTGTGAACAGGGTCGCAGAGGATTTCGTAGGGGAGAGGGCTAGGCACTTTGCAGTGAAGAAGTGAGAAAGTTCGGAGAGATACCCGTTTACTTTCGAACACAGGTCATCAATTCCATTCCCAGTCGCCATGATCGAGCAATCGTCGGCGTAAGAGACAATCGAGACTCCCTCTGGTGGTTGAGGGAGCGTTGAAATGTAAAAGTTAAACAGTAGCGGGGAAAAGACACCACCCTGTGGAACCCCCTGTTTTATTTGTCTGAGTTTACTCGATTTGTCTCTAAGCATTACCGACGAGTGTCGACCACTCAGATAATTTGCCGACCACCGTTTGAGCCCCTGTGGGAGAGAGGAGGCCTCTATATCTTCTAGTAGCGTAGAATGGCAGACGGTGTCAACGCCTTTGACGCTACTAGAATCGTTCTCTCACAGGGACGGTTTCGGTTAAGGCCACGAGTTATCTGAGTGTTTATGGCGTAAAGTGCTGTTGTTGTACTGTGCACTTTACGGAAACCATGCTGATGCTTCGCTGGGGTCAAGTGGTTTGTGAAATTGAGGACCTCCGTTAGTTACGCTACCCCCGCAGGACCCAAATTTTTCAGCATCAGCATGCATATTCCGTCGGGACCCATGGCTTTGGAGGCTTTCGCCTTCCCGATGGCCACCTGAACTTCACCGCAAGTGAAAGCAAGGGGGGCACAGGTTGTTGGCAGTTTGGGCAGCCTTCTGGTCACTCGACGCTTGGCTTTGTCCACCGGAGGATGCAGTATGAACTGCCGGCTAAAATAGCTCGCGCATCGCTCCGGGTCCGACGAAGCATGGTCGCCGAAGGAAATTTCGACTCTGTCGTCGTGCTTCGTCGGATTAGACAGTGACCTCACGGTTGACCAAAGCTTGCTCACACCAGAGGTGAAGTTACAGGTCTTCACATGCTCCTCCCACTTCTTCGGCTTATGTACGTTTACTAGTTGCCGAATCTCCGCGTTGAGATCCCTGATACGAGGATCTCCGGGATCGGCCTGACGAAGGCTATCACGCTCATCGGCTAGAACAGCCGCTTCGGCAGGGAAGTTTGGACGTGGGTCCGTTATACATCCTGCCGGTATGAAGCGAGCTGCAGCAGCAGTGACAGCCCTCCGTAACTTACGTTCACCGAGATGGACGTCAGTTGGTGTGGGAAGCGCTGTGAAGGTGTTTTCAGTAAACTCCGCGTAACCTTTCCAATCAGCTTTAGAAAAGTTGATATAGGTCCGGTGTTTGGCCGAGGCGAAGTCGGTTGGTTTATATATCGAGATGACTATGGGTAGGTGGTCTGATGTTAAAGTCAGCACAGGTCGCCATGTTATGCTGTTTATCAGACCAGCGCTGACTATGGTGATGTCTGGCGAGCTGCTGCAGTTACCCATAATCCTGGTGGGTGCGTCGTCGTTCATTGTGCAGAATGTCGAATCGTCTATTTGCTCAGCCAAGTCTGTTCCCCTACGATCGTTTGACAGGTTTGAGTGCCAAAGATCGTGGTGCGCATTAAAGTCACCTACTACCATACGGTTTTCACCTCTGAGGAGCGCACCTATATCAGGGTGATATCCTGCCGGGCAGCAGGTGACAGGGGGTATGTATATGTTAAATATTTCGAGCTCAACATCGCCTGACCGGATAGCAATGCCCTGACATTCTAGGGTGGTATCCCTGCGGTCGATGTCTATTTCGATAAGACGATATTGCACGGTGTGGTGCGTGATGAACGCTAAGCCACCACCATTATCTCGCTCGCGATCTCGACGGTGCACGTTGTACCCGGCACAATTCAACAAAGTTGTATTGCTGTGCAACTTCGTCTCTTGGACCGCAGCTATCAATATACCATGCCGACACATGAAGACGGTTATCTCCTCAATCTTGCTCTGTAGCCCGTTGCAGTTAAATTGAAGAAGCTTCATGTGGTTCGGGAGACGTGTCGTGTGTGCGCTGCTGTGATGGTTGCCGCCTTGTGGTGGTGGCGGGAGGCGTCGCAGTTGAGGTCAGCGACCGAGCAGCGCAACACGGGCCCTCGAAGTTCCCAGTCCAATCTCGCGTGGTACGCAGACCTGAGCATGCCCTAAAGTGGCACCAGCCAAGGCAGGTGTTGCACTTGACTGATGTCGCATTACGGAATATCCTGGTCTGACATACCGTGCAGATTGTAGGAGGAACCAGGAGTTGTTGGCGGCGGCGTGTGGGTAGAGGTGCGGTTGTGTGTGTTATGTGGTCTGTCGTGGCTGTGGTATGGTCTGTGGTGTTATTAAGTTGTTGTGCTGTGGTGACTGTGTGAGGCTGCTCAGGTGGACTGAGGTTAGCCATGGAGGCTGCTCTGTTTGAGCAACAGGGTGCCACGTACGACGTGGTCCACTGTCGATGTGTCCGTAGTCCTGAGCAGACTCTAATATCATGTCCCCACCGGAGCTAACCACGTAGTTATGGCTATTGA